CTGGTGCAAATTACTGACCTCTGTCATCATTTTAGGTGGGGGAACTTGCACAATCGGTGGCTGACTAAATACTTTTTTGCCCCACTGTAAGTATTGAGCGGCTTAGCAAAACAGGTAAAAAGACTGGAGTGAAAATGAGTGGGGTGGGGGGCTGGGGAATGTTTAAAAAAAAAAATTTAAAAAATGGAAAGACTTCCAAAAAGCTAGGAGAACTATTCCTGAAGGCCCTTTAACTCTATGGAAGCAAATTTGAAAGAAGTGAGGGTTGGTTCAAGGCTTTATAGTATAGTATAGTATATACCAAGGCAAATCTAAAACGTTTCTTTCTCCCCAGTTTCAGTTTTCGCTTTTAGCTATCTATTATAATATTATAATAACTATGATGGCTTGGAGTCCTAAAGATTTGCTGCTAAAATAAAGAAAGCAGGGGGTAATTGCATAATCTGAGACTCGGTGCACTGTTGTACAACTGTCCTCCAAGAGGACAACCTCTCTGCACCAGAGCTAAATCAACCCTGACAATAATAATGCCACACCCTCGCGAAATACTGAACCGTTTGTTTAATACTATTAAGTCTGTTACTGCGTCCTGTTATTGAACATTAAACGTACTAACGCTAAAAATGTTTAGAATTAGACGGCGAGCTCTGACGTGACGACGGCCACAGATTCAGATTTCAAGCAACAAATACACAAATGACGAATTACTCGCTAGCTCACCCTTTTCGCGACAATAGAAGAGAGCATTTTAACCCAGGTTCTTTTAAGGTCCACAAATTTGACGAAGATCCGTCTCCCCTGTCGAAATGTTTCTGCTGTCTGACAGAAATTACACAAGTACGGTCACAGGAAACTACCGGACGGAGGGCTGTACACAGCCCACACGTGGTTTTGTTTAACTGCAGGAAAACGTAGCTGGCGTCACAGTTGGACCTTTAGAGGTTATATAGTTAATCTGTGTATTTATTTATTTTTCGTACTCAAAAACAAATGCATTAGCTAAATACATGCTTGACCCTTTACCAAAAACTAAACCAACTTGACTACAGGAACCAAAAGTCGATTGTTGTTTTCAGCCGGTGACTATGTCAGCTGCACCAACTGCCAGAGTAGCAACATTAGCTTAAGCTGATCAGAGAACGAATGAGAAGTTAACTGGTAGCTCGTGCTATGAAATACCTTGTATGTTTGTGAAAGTTTTCATCATAATTCAGTTTTCTTATCATTTATTTCCGCAGACTATATTTTCGGTTTGTCACACTCAGTTTTAGCCACAGTATGCTTATTTTAAGTCCAGCGGAACATTAACGTTAGCTAACAAAATAAGGAAAAGTGAAATTTCTGAATTCTAAAAGTGCATCCTTTGTGTTAATTTCTAAGGTGTGCATGTGCGAGCTGCACTTAAAACAAATAACAATTACTAGCTGGATTGCAAGTAATTAATTATCTTCGGCCCACGGGATGGCTGCTGCAGGACGAGAACATGCAGCTGGACCAAGCACCGAGGACAAAGATCTAGATCTATATAGTGACCTGAATCAAAACGACGAGGTGAGTCTGGCATTGAAATCAATGCAAAAAAAAGGGTCAGTTTATGAAACGATCGGTCAAAAATAAAACTGCGGTACATATCTTCCTAGAAGGAAGGTGCCACATCCTTTAATTTTTTTTATTTTACGTTATCTAATACTGGAATATATGTTAGTATGTTTTTGAGCTACTTAAAACTCACCTATGACATGAAAAATACTTAACTAAAAGGATGAAATTTAACAAAGAACCGATTTGGAATAGTTTCTTTGGGCTTTAGTTGTATATTTCTTTAGTTAAATATTTTTTAAAAGACAAAATTAACAGAGTTTGTGTGTTGAAAAGTAAAGGTGATCATATGCAGCATTGACAAGACTTTTGCCCACTGCTGTAATTATTCTTTTTCTATACTTCACAGGATTTGGATAGAATTGCAGAAGCAAATGAACTTTTTGATGCCGTTCTAACCGGCTCTGTTAACCAAGACAAGAATGTTGCTACCAAGGAGTCCTTACGTAAGGAGACATCAGCTAAGGAAGAGGATAAATCAACAGAAGCAAATACTCCAAAAAGAGCAAACTATCTAAGGAGACTTTCTGTATATGTTGGGCATTTCCCATGGGTGAGTTGAGTTTTGCATTGCCAATACAATTTCATCCATTTTAGAAACACTGTTAATACTAAAACATTACTGGAAAACAATAAATAATAATCTGATTTTAGATTCTTTATATAATGCCAAGACAGATGGCACACTATACCATGCTTGCCATTTGTTTACACAGTTGGCATTACTTTAGTAATTTTCCAGTTCTTCTCCAAATGTGTTAAAACATTTGGAGAAACTAGCAAAGGCTACATAGATACAGTAGATCAGCGGTCCCCAACCTTTTTTGCGCCACGGACCGGTTTATGCCCGACAATATTTTCATGGACCGGCCTTTAAGGTGTCGCGGATAAATACAACAAAATAAAACTAGTACCGGTACTGAAAAAAAGAAAATTTATTCATAACACACGTGAAAAGACCAAGGAAAACCGAGTAAACGATAAAAACGATAACAAAATAACGCTGAAAACCGATAAAAACCCTGAAAAACATACATTTCACACCTGAGCCTTAACTCTCGCGGCCCGGTACCAAACGACTCACGGACCGGTACCGGTCTGAGGCCCGGGGGTTGGGGACCGCTGCAGTAGATGATCTGTTATACCTATAAAGGGGTGGCATATGGGGTGGCTGTAGCTCAGGTGGCAGAGCAGGTCAGCCACTAATCAGAAGGTCGGTGGTTCGATCCCAGGCTGCCTCCTGGCTGCATGCCAAATATCCTTGGGCAAGATACTAACCCCGTGTTTGCCTACTGGTGGTGGTCAGAGGGCCCGGTGGCACCTGTGTCCGGCAGCCTCGCCTCTGTCAGTGCGCCCCAGGGCAGCTGTGGCTACAATGTAGCTTGCTATCGCCAGTGTGTGAATGGGTGAATGACTGAATGTAGTGTAAAGCGCTTTGGGGTCCTTAAGGACTAGAAAATTGCTATACAAATGCAGGCCATTTACCATTTACCATAAAGTTGAATGACTTTCCCCCTACCAGTTTTTTTTTTCTTTTTTACAAACCTCCCATCCTTGCAGTGGGTAACTGAGAATGACCTAACATCTATGGCCAAAGGGTTGGGTGTGAAGAACATCGCAGACATCAAGTTTGCTGAGGACAGAAGTAATGGTGTGTCAAGAGGGTGAGTATTGTGTAAAATATAGAGAAACCTTTAAAAAATAAAGCATTTTTGTATTTTTCTTTTAAATTTTATCTCCTACTCTGTGATGCAGCTTTGCAGAAGTGGTGATAACGTCAGACGAGTCACTAAAACTAATGTTGGAAAAAGTACCACAGTGTAAAATCAACGGGGAAAGGATAGACTGTCGCTATGCCACTTGTCAGAACCTTGCTTTTTTTGAAGAGGAAGCAAACAAACGTAAGGGGAAGACGACTCTCACAACACCCTGATATTTAGTTTGTATTACTAAATGTCAGGATAACATTTTTTCATGGAGATGTATTTTGTTTTTTTCAGGTGTACCCTTGCGAACTAACAAAGAAACCAAGGAATCTGATTCGTCAGATGAGATTCTCTCAGTATTATTAGCACAGAAGACCGCCCCGTCTGCTATACCTCCACTTTTTCCATCACATCCACTTGCTAACAGCTTTCCTCCATTACCCGGCCCTTCTTTTGGTCATCCACCTCCCCTGTTTCCACATATGCCACAAACAATCGCTCCGCTCATGGCAGCCCCGCTGTTCCCTCCTCATCCAGTCCCTGTCCCAAGCCACCCGTCTCTTGGTATGCATCCCACATACTTCAGCCCAGCACAGGATGGGCACAGCAGCAAAGCTTACAGCCAACAAACGTGAGAACACATTATTTAATTTTTTTAGCCACTGACACACTAAAGGCATTTACAGAGAGATCATATTAAACCTCCAGTGGAACGTGAACCAATGAGCAGGATACAGAGAGGCATAAATGAGAATAGAGATTACTTATGACTAGAAGTTACAAAAAAGAAAACATTAAAACATTAGTTACTTTTACTAATAACTGTCTATTTTACAGAAACACACCTAAAAGTTCAGATCAACATTTGGAGGAGCTTATGAATAGAAACAGAACCATTGCCAGCAGTGCCATCACAAAAGCTGTGAGTGGTGCAACAGCTGGTAAGTATAAATGCATATGGGACACAGTTTGTTTTTTTTTATGCTTATTATCAATGATTAACAGACAGTTGGAGAAACACTCAAAATGTAAAGTTGTTCCACACAACTTGCACTTGAATTAGGAAGCACACACATATCATAGTATATTTTTGTCTTGGATATAATTTGAATACATGTTTTTACTAGTGATAAAAAATAAATACCGTATTGTGTACATAAGTCATTACAGACTTTATGCATTATTTGAAAGGCTCTGAAAATGCTGTTTTAATGCTAATCAGTCTGATCTCTGCAACAGTTCTAGTTCTTTGGTAGATTATTCCTATTTTTAAGGACATGACTTTTTATAGATAGTTTTTTTTAATTATTATTTTGGCCTGCCAGTTTTTTGTTTGGTTTTTTTTTGGTCTCCACTTCAGTTCAGTTTATTGAAAATACTGCAGTTGCAAAAATTACAAGAAAGACTGGCTCCTTTGAAGAAAGATACAAAGAATAATGAGTAACTCAAGAATTTAGTACATTTAGCATATTTGTGGCAAAATAAGAAAAACATGACTGTTTGGTTGTGGTTTAATCAGATTTGATTGTCAGCGCTTTTACAACACAATCTGTGTCTTTGGGACCTTTAGGTTTTTGGTTATGTTTTTCTAGCTTTGCACACTTTTAATTTCTACTTTCTTCAAACGTTTTGTTACCTCCTCTAGTTCTATCAGAGTGAAATAAGAGCCTTTCTTAGTTCTAACTATTTCTACTTGGGATTTGAGAGGAGTTTAAGATGAAGCTTCGGCTGGCACATTTAACAACATGCAGAGATTTATCCCAAAGCCCTCTCAGCCTTTTTTTGGCTGCGTGCTCTGGGTCTCTGTATACACATAGGTGAATCATCACCTCAGGCCAGGCTTTATGTCTTCTGACTCAACAAGCCTCCCTGCTGCTTCTGTTCCGAGATACTTTCCTATCTTTAATGAATTTTGTAGTAACTGTCGCCCATTTTCAAAAACTTTTTATTAAACCTAACCCTAGGAACTTTAAAGTGTTTCGTTACTAAACAAACAAATGCTTCTAATATCTCCCAAATTTCTACATCAGGAGACCTGCAGGTGGCCATGGAAACACTATTAACTGCCATTGCCATCATTAAGCAGTCCAGAGTGTATGGAGATGAGCGATGCCAGACGCTGGTCACATCACTCAAGGATTGTCTAGTCTCTATCCAGGGCAATTCTGGCTACAGGTTTGTATAACTGCCTATCAAAACGCTGTCGTTGTTGTCCATATATGTATGTATATGAACTAATACTGAGGTTGGACCTAGCATTAGATTTCTTACTTTGTTACAAAACCATATTTCTTTTCAGTGAACAAAGTCGCTCTGGAAAAAGAGACCGGGACAGGAGTCGGGACAGAGACAGGGAATGGAGCCGTGACCGAGACCGTGAAAGAGACCTGGAACGGAGTCGAGAGCGTAATAGAGACCGGGAACGGAGTCGTGGCAGAGAGCGCGATAGAGACTGGGACAGGAGTCGTGACAGAGAGCGTGATAGGGACTATTCTTCTGTCTGTGAAGATGCAGGAATGTCTCGAAGACACCTGGAGCACTCCTGGAGTGGAGAAAGGGAAAAGGCGTATTCACGGGAACGGGAAAGACACAGAGATCACAGAGACAGGTACCACTAATTAGGTAAGTTTTTCACTAATATTAATTTGTACACTACAATTATATTTTACCATCAATCAGTTTCACGTTTTTGGAATATCTACTATTTTTCCAGTAGACATTTTGACCTCTGATGGAAGGAAAGCCCAGGTGTGTTCCACATAGGTTGCATTCCGATATTGCTAACTCACTGGAACAACTTACTTGAACAAATGAGCCATTTTTTATTTCACCTTTTGTTTTTCTTATGGTGACAAAAAAAACACAAGTCGCCTGCTCTCAAGAAGTTCTGTCATCCGTGTTAGGTTTCTCATTACACAGTAATAAGTACAAAAAACTTAAATAAGACTTACATCTTTTAGTTTGTTCAGTAAACCTGATAATGCAGATTTATTCATGTAGAGCACAATAACTGTGCTTTACTTCCTTCAACCTTCAACAATTTGTTCAGGAATTTAGCAGCACTTTATGCTGTGATGTAATAGTAGTTTATTATTTAGTGTCAGTTTTTTCATTTTGGTTTATAAATGTATAAAAGCTTCTTATAGTTAATATCTTCTCATATTAATAGTACTTTTCATCAGATCTGAGGCCTGTACTATGAAAAGAGGTAACTTCAGCAGTAAAGTTCACATCTGTCACTTATGGTTTAATATGAACTTAGAGAGATGGTTAAGTGTTACCTGAGTGTATGTTGTCCTGAGAGCAGGAGCTCCATTACATTTCATAAATGTTTGTAGAAGCAGTCTGCATGACTAGGTGCTTGATTTCATACATCTATCGTCATGGAAGTGATTGAATATCTGAATTTAAATATTTGGATTGGTGACTGGATCCTTCTGGCAGTTTACTGTATTATGTATGTGTATATGGTTCATAAAGTGAAACTCACTAAATTTACTATATTACAGTGGATCAATTTATTAAATCTGCCTGCACCAGACAGAGCACAGCTATATTTGATCAAGTAAAATGAAAACATTTTACTTGATCAAATGCAGAACTTTTAGTCAAGATATATGTAAGGGATTAGCACAAATACTGCTGTGTGAAACACCACAGGATGCATCCTAAAATGACAGAACCCATTTAGGAAATGTACTTCTGAAAACATACAAACATTTACTTTTATGTTCAGTATAGTGTAGGTCTGATTTGTAAAATTTGTGGATTTCAAAATGTATTATTTTCCCATCCCTAGACTGAAGTCCTGTGACTGAAGCAGAGCAAAGACAGGCCTTTTTTTTTTTTTTTTTTGGGACAAAAGTAGAAGAATTCCAGATTAAACTACGGATATGCGTCTTCTAAAGTCCAAGGTGTACTTTTTTTCTTTGAAAGTACTGAGTTTCTTTTCTTTTTTAAGTTCTCCAGGATCTGTAATTTTAGATAAAGACTGTAGAATTGTTGCTGGGACATCAACTTTCAAAGCTTGCATGCACAGAAGCGCCTCCTAATTTATGTAACTGTAAAATTTATCACTTTTTGTATTAAATGTACAAAAAAATATCCATAGACATAAATCCAAGTTGTTGTTTTATCTGCTTAGTGGGGACCACAAAAATCATTTAAACTGCCTCTGTTTGGACCACTGTTAACACATTAAAATGTAAAACTACTGAAAGTCTCGCTACAAGATTTATCATGCTGCTTGGTTTTAATGCATAGAACAAGTGTGGGGACTAAGCTTTGCAACTACACAAGACAGCAAAGGTATAAGCACATGTAGCAATGCCATCAACAGCTTTATTTAGAAAAATGCATCACATTAATAACACAAACGCTCAAAACTTCAGCCTGCACAAAGTCCAAACAGTTCTTCTAGTTTTCATTTCTCCAATGGCGCATAATTCAGCAATTTCTCAATAAGATCCACGTGAGAAAGAAGCATCCTCCTGCAGCAGTACCTCTTCAGTCCCAGGGCATCCAGGGCGTCACTTGAGAAGGAAGAAGAACAAGTAATGTCAGAGCTAATGCATGATATCCTGAATGAATAAGTACATGGACATTACTGAACACACTGAGGAAAATGGTCTAAATGGCCTCATGCAATTATGATTCCCTTAATCCATCAACTAATTTTCAAGCCGACTTCAAACCACTCAACTTCTACAAACGAAAAAAGTTAAAGGGGCAGCGATTGCACTGCTACTAAGTTGTGTTGCCATAATACAACAGTTACTTAGAATTTAAGAGGCAATGTCAGTGGAACAAAACAGAATGTATTAGTCTTACCCCTCTGTGTACTCGGCTTGAAGAAGACCAAGGTATGCTTCCCATTTGTTACCAACAATCTTGCCACACGTGAAGCACCGTACAGGGATGATCATGTTTAGACACCTGTGAATAGAGACCTGGTGCTCAACTTACCCAATAAAATTACGTATCAAACACGTATGTGATGTTAACGACCCAATTTTGTTTTCGTAGATTTACGAAAAACGACGATAAGTTTAACTTGAAAGTATTAGTAGGTGCCCGGCTAATTCCGAGGTAGCTAGCGTCACTATTATGCTAATACTGTATCTTTGATGTGTAGCTAAGACGACTATAAATTATGCAAGGTGATAAACCCAAACGGTGTTTACCTGTGCGTTGTTTATTGATATTTTTTGTATCTGTGCGTGTTTTTTCAGGAGCAGTTATCAAATTAATTGAACAAAACACCTAGCCAGCCATTTCAGCATGCGTAACCACGCGCTTAGCATAAAACTTTAGCTGCTTTAACATGTTGCGAATCGCAGTGTTGGTTGTTTACCACAAAAAGCAAAAGGTCACGTTTTATTTACTCACCGTTGCCACTATCGTTCGCTAAAGCACACAAGTTATGGTCTTCTGAGAGAAACAAACACCGGAGAAGTTGTAACTGCTAGCTTTGCTTTCTTCAACCGCAACAACAAGAAGACTTCCTGTTAGAATCTTTCAAAATAAAGGACTACTTCGGCCTCACTGTTTTTCATCAAGATCCGGGGGAAAAAAATAATCTAGAAAAATTTCACAAAACTTCTCGGAGAGATGTAGCATGGGTAAAGGTTAACTACATTTAGAATTATCGCTAAGTTATAAATTTAAAAAAAAAAAAAGCCTAAACTGTATGGACTTAATATTTATATCTATGAACAAGTGATGTGGAAAATATCTTGTGCAAATAAGAGAATTTACTTCATGTGTGGAAATGTGTTGCCTCCCTGCTGATGGTTATCCTTTGTTCATCTGCAATAGCGGAGTGAATTTAATTTTATGACATTTAGAGGTAAAACGAAAAGCTTGAGTAGGTGTTTCTTTTCATTATAACGCATCTTTGTACGAATAAAATTAGACATGCATATCACTTTTCTAGTAAATTATCTTGTACACACACATTAATAAGAGAGACCTATGGAGATATTAGGAGAGAATTCAGTTTCTATGTACCCTTATAGCTTCCATATTATTAATAATACATGTAAATTGTTCATTGGCAAAATGATAGAAAAGCAGCAGCCAAGCTATGAAAATCTCACATATAGCATTGGCATCACATAAGTACAGCTCTAAAAATGACCATAAAGTTGACTCAGCAGAAAGCAAGCTGTCACACTAACTATAGAGCAAACTGCAGATGCCTTAAAAACAGACACAATACTTCTCAGCGGTATAACTACATCCTATGTCACATTAACGAAACATCCTTCTGGGAGGACGTGTTGAGCAAAGTAGACCTGACCACAATAATGGTTTCCGTGGGCCAGCAGATATTGATTATGGAGTAAAAATGAATTACATAACAATACACCCTGACACCAACAATACACCCTAATACTTTACATGAAATGTGCCTCAAAAGGGGTAATAAAAGAGTGATTAAAGACGTTCCTGGACACCTGATGCAGTCTGATACATTCATGGTGAACTATAAACTTTGTTGTGACAAATAACTGAATAAAATTCAAATAATAACAAAATACAAAAATAATAAATTATAGTAGTAAATATCACAGAATACAGAAAGTAAAATTAAGTCAACCAGAAGTTAGTGTGTGTGTATATATGTATATGTGTGTATGTATATATGTGTATATATATGTATATGTATATATATGTATATGTATATATATGTATATGTATATGTATATATATGTATATATATGTATATGTATATATATGTATATGTATATATGTGTATATATATGTGTGTATATATATGTGTGTATATATATGTGTGTGTATGTGTGTATATATATGTGTGTATATATATGTGTGTATATATATGTGTGTGTATATATGTGTGTATATATATGTGTGTATATATGTGTGTGTATATATGTGTATATATATATATATATGTGTGTATATATATGTGTGTATATATATGTGTGTATATATGTGTATATATATATGTGTGTATATATATATGTGTATATATGTGTATATA